TCCACCATGAGTCTTCTTGGTTTCTAGTTTGTAGATGAACCAATCAACAAATCAAAAATTATGATAGAACAATAATGTGATTTATTTGTTAAAACTACTAAAATAATTGTAAGCAAAATGCTAAAGAGATCATGAAAATTGCAATAAAATGTAAATTATATGATGAAGAATGAAGGGAATGAAAAAGAGAGGACTACTGGATGTTTTTGGCAATTGATAATTCATTATGCTTTAGGTTGTGAAGAAAATAATGACCAATTAATAATGAATCTTGCATATAATATTTCCCATATAATAACAGTTGCATATAGAGAGGAGATCATGAAGTTCTTGGCCGTTAGCATGTACTTAATAATACAAGCTTTATTGTTTAATCAATTGGTTACATAAGTTTTTTATTTATGAGTATGCATTTAATTGGGGTTTATGCTATGATTTATGTATGGATGCATGGATGCATGTATTTTATGTATTATGAGTATGCATTTAATTGGGGGTTATGCTATGGTTTATGTATAGACGCATGTATTTTATGTATGTATGTATATGTTTTAAAAGGCTTTTCACATCCCAATCCACTTTTATAATAGTATTAGATATATTTATCTCCCTTCTACGCCAACTCTAATATTAGGCATGTCTAAGTAGGCCAGCCCAGACTTGGACCCGGGTTTACGCCCAGGCTAAACTGGGCTGGATCAGATATTTTCTTTTTTGCAAAAAATTGCTAAAAATAGATTTTTTGACAAAAAAAATAGAATTTTAGGAGTAATTAAAATATGCAAGATTTTGATAAAAGTTCTATCTTATTGTCAAACACTTATGATTATACAATTTGTAAAGTTCATAGGAGTTAAAACAATAAAAAATAAATTCTTTATTATTAATTACTAACAATTACATCTTTTTTAAGAAATTATCGCATCACAATAGATAAGTACATCCTAATTAGATTGGCACACACTCATCTATATCACTATATTTGTAACTCTTTCTAATTTATTACAGATTTATAGTTAAATAAAAATTATAAATTACAAATAACTTTCTATTATTTATCTCCTAATGTCAACTTATTAAGTCTGTCTTCAATACTAACTATCTGGTTGATGCCTTGAGTTCTCTTTTTATACCTCCACCAATCTTATAGGCATATTACCTCCTGTATGATAGATGGATCTAATATTTTTTTGTGGTCATCGATAGAACATCCTGATGTGCTGAAGGCGGATTCCGAAGGTATGATAAAAACTTGCACTATTAGTAAGTCACGAGCCATGATGAAAAATATAAGATATGAAATTGCTCCATATACTCTCCACCATGCAAATTATCTTGAGGTTTAACTAAAGGTGTAGCTAAATAACGTTCCATTTTAAAAAAATATAAGATGAAAAATATAAGATGAAAAATCAATATTATTTTGAGGTTTAACTAAAGGTGTAGCTAAATAACTTTCCATTTTAAAAAAATATTTTGATCATCCCAATCGACGGCTACTACCCTGATAAACATGAATATTATCTATATTTTGACTATGTTTCACCTACGGATTCATTGTTATTTGATGTATTTCCTTGCATTTTGGCCATGTTAAGCTCCCTAGTTCTTGTTTACTGCTCTATTTATATATTGTGTAGGAATTACTGGAGCTTAGCACGGATTCGGAGTCAAGAAGGAGTCAAGGAATGCATGAAAAGTGGCTACACGGTCACCCAGTGTTAAACAACACAGGCGTGTTGGTTACAGAAGATAAGCCCAGAAAGCAGAGTGAAACAGAATTAAACACGGCCTGGTCATGTCGATCTGCACAGCCGTGTTGGATGACAGCAGTCAGTTATCTTGCGATCTGGAGCATTATTTGAACTTATCTTTCAACACGTCTTTGCAAGAGGATAAAAAGGAGACGTCCTGAAGCATCAGGGAGGACCTGGAAACCCGAGATCTGGATATTTCTTTCTTCTTCTTCTCTTCTTCTCTCTATAAAAACTCTTAGATTAGGTTTTTCTTTTGCTTTGGAATCTGCTGTTTGTGGAGAATTGTGTGCAACTTCGACACTACGGTTTATCTTTCTGATCTATTTCAATTTCTAGTTTATGATTATGATCTTATATATTGTTATCATGTTTTCTATTTCAATTATGTGTGAGTAATTGTCTTATCTGGGATTGAACAAGGTTCGGCTGTGGTTATGAATTAATGAACTGATTGTTGTTGTTTTTGATCGTTCGATTTGCATTATTCAACTGCTAGATCTAATTGCCTAGGGTTAATTCAATTGGCCACTGATTTAATTCTTTTAGGATGTTGATTTGAACTGAAAGGTTAGATTGACGCCGGAAAATAGTAATTGAACAAGAATTAATTGATCACGAAAGTAGGTTAATTATTCTTGAGAACATGAGGGATTAACAAGAACTTAATGGGTTTAATTTGGTTTAACACTATGAAAATAGGTTGTTAGGCTGAATTAAGCACGACTTTTAGTCGTCGAAAGAGACTAATAGTTATCATAGGTTAGTCGTTCTTAATGCATTGAGAGATTCGATAGCAATTGATTAGTTTATTGATTCGAACCAGAGTTGAAACCGAAGTTCAATCCTAGATCCTTTTAATTGAGTGAATTCGTCGTTGATACTAGCTAGCGTGTTCGTTATTGATAATCAAAAAACATACTTTTTAACACGATTGGTTTAGATAGTTACAAAACAGTGAAAATCAGTAATTAACAACGAAGTCCCTGAGGATACGACCTTGCATCGCTATAACGATATCCGTGCACTTGCGGATTTGAGTGAACATACCCATACATGTTAGACTCTCTATTATCGATTGTTTGTCAAAAAACTTACCTTTGCCCAATCTAGAGCATGTAGAACCTATAGATTGAGGTATACACCATATCTACCTGCATACTTATCAAATAATCTTTAAAAATAATAATAGTGTTATGATGAGCAAAAGCATTAATAGTCTGACTGCTATCAGTTTCGATTACCATATTCTTATACAAAAATTTAACAAACTTTAAAGGCCGATATCCTTCAAGCATAGATCAATAAGAATCTTGAAATCAAAAATAATAAGAATAAGTCTAAAATACTTATTAAATTTGCTCCTTTCAAAAATCATGTTTGAAAAATAATTATCCATATGATGAGTATTAAAAATTTTGAATATTTAAAACTTGTAAAGCAGCTTGAGTAATAGTTGAATAATAACAACTAGATAATAACATAGTAGCTTTATAAAAATTTATAGCATCTCTTTTGCACAACTTATAGTTTCCCACTCATCATCAGTTATTTCATACATACTACTAGAGCTAGTATAGAAAACAATAAAACTATTTATAATTTCTTTATACTTAATTGCTACATTTAACATTGCATAGGTGAAATTCCACTTATGGTCAATATCTTTTGGAATTAACATAGCTTTTATATATGTTTTCCTTCTACAGAATAAATTATTATCATCTTTTAAGTCTTTGTTCAAAAGCATTATGAGTATAAGCTATAATCCAAACTTTTCTATCAATGGTTTAATTTTATTAAATACACTTTGAACAATTATATTCAAAATATGACACATGCATCTAATATAAAAAATATCACCCTTACATGGTAATAGAAAAGATGATTTGGTATGATCAATAGCTACATTATTATTACTTATATTTTCTAGTGAATGAGAAAATATTTTTTCATAAATTTCTAAATTTAAAAGTTCTTCCATTATTAACTTTGCAATATTTACACTAGTGTGTGAATCTTCAAAAGAAATAAAAAATAACTCTTTTAAACATTTACCAAGTGTCATCAATCCAGCATGCTGTGAGAGATATAATAGTTTATGCTCTAGATGTCTAAATATAAGAAGTTAGAAAAAATTTGTTGTTTAAGCTTTGAAAATAAGAAACTATTTTTACTTTTTCCCTGTGATAATATTTCAAAATATCATGGTGACAAGATTGATGAGAGAATTTTTGAAATGCGGGATAAAAAATATTTCTAATAATATCATCAAATTTATCATCTTCTACTAATTTAAAAGGAATATTTTTAAGGACAATAAACCTGATGATGTATTTCCTGACTTTAATTGTGTCGTAATTTCATGAACCGAGGCTACTGGACGAAGATGATTGAGAGAGTAGAGATTAAAAGATGCCGCCTTGAGACCCCCTATTGTGTTTTTCTAAATGATGTTTGAAGTGGTTAGTGTCGCTCTTATGATGAGTTCAAAGATATGACCGCATAATGCACATTTACTTTTTAGGTGAGAAGTTTGTCGTGTTGATCCCTGATGACCTCTATCTTCTCAAAGAAAGCCTACACTTTGGATCTCGGCCTTTTAGGAGCTCAGGGTGTTAGATCATCGTCGAATTCAGGATCAACATCGGTAGTAGTAGGAGTAGCTGTAGGACTCACTTTGGAGTTGAATTTTGTCCTTCATAATCGGAGGAGGAAGCCAGTAGAATTAGAGAATTAGAGAGTATTGGAAAGTATAGTAGGAGAATAAGAGAGTATAATACTGTATCAGACAGAATAATAGAGTAATAAAGAGAAGTAGACGAGTTTTGGATTAGAAAAACAAATTGAAACCCCTCTATTTATGGAGGCGCCCCCCAAGCCCAACTACCAAAATACCCTTAAATTTGGCCTTTTCTCTACCGTTTTTAAGGTATTTTGGTCATTTTACCAAAAATAGCTATTGTTGGCTATTTACACTGCCCGAACCAGGTCGGATCCAGGCTGGGTCCGGGCCGTTCGGTCCAACCGCTACTTTTTTAGCCATTGGTCTTTGTCCAAATTTGGGCCGGGTCTGGCTTTTGAGCCCGATCAGGTCCAACGGCTAACTAAGGGGTCATTATTGGCTTCCCTAGTTTAGTCTTGGTCCGAGTCGGCCTTGGACTCAGACCGGCGAGTTCTTTCGCCCGACACTATGGCAGCCATCCTGGGTCGGGCTTCACCGGACCAATCCGGTCTCGGGCTTGGAGCCTACCATTGCACTGTTTTTCGAGCTTTTTCCTAATTCGGATCGGACACAGAGCTAAGTCTAGGACCGTACTGTAAGTCCAATCGAACAGCCCTACCCAAAAATCTACCCTGGGTAAATTCCAATTCATATTAAATTGACAATGAGATCTGACTCAAAAACAAATCAGGAATAGAATCGGAGCATGTTCTCTTTTCCTAAAAAAAAGAACAAAAAAAAAATCAGGTCACCACACTGGACCTAACTCAACCCACTTGCAACCCAGACCCATGTGGTCCAAGTGGGGTGGCAAAACAAAAAGTCAACCACTGATCATAGATTCAGTGTGCACATAAGAAAAGGAAAAGTTTGGGTAATTTATGATTTTTCCCATGGCTAGTAATTTATTTACCAGCAAGGGACCCTCCCCAATAAATTCCCTTTCCCGGTTTCAGCTCTGGGGTCCTACCTTTCTGTCCTTTTATTTCAAGCACCAAAGTCAACAGAAGCATGCTCTCTGTCTCTCTCTCTGTCTCTCTCTAATTCTTTTACTTTTTTACTTTTTTTTCCTCTCAATTTATAGTAAATAAATAATTTCTTTCCTCCTTTGCTCTTTTATGATTCCTTAAGCAGTTGCCCACACGATTCCTCCTCGTACCCAATTCATCTCCCTTGCTTGCTTCCAGCACACAAAACCCAGAAAGAGAGAGAGAGAGAGAGAGAGAGAGAGAGAGAGGGAGGGAGGGAGTCCAGGGGAAATATACATTAAAACATTTAGAGAGAGAGAGAGAGAGAGAGAGAGAGAGAAAAGAGGAGTCTTTTCTTGATTTTTCCTCCTCCGTAGCCCGTTGACTAGTTCGGTAAGATTTTTTGCAGCCCACCCATTTGATTTCTCGCCCTTCTTTGTTGCCTCTTTCGATGTGGGCAGCGATTGAAATTTGAAATATTCACCTTTTTTTTTCTCCTTTTTAATTTTGGGCGCAGGTAGTGGATTTCTCTGAATAAAGACGAGGATTTGGTGGGGGTGCGTTTGGATCAAAATCGCATATTGGTGGCGATTGGATTAAGGAGTAGATGCTTATTAATTGAAGAGGGGAGAGGAATTGGGGATTCTTTTTTATATGGATAAGTTATGCTGCTTCAGGGCTGGATGCTCTCAGGTGAGCTATCGCGTTGACCTCGTTCTTTTTCTTTTTTCTCCCTCAATTGTTTGAATTATATTTAATTGGGCATGCAATTATATTTTTGTCACAAGTGACTTATTTTACTTTGGGGAAGGCATGCTTAAAAAAAAACAGATTTCTGTTCTTTTGATTTTGATTTTAAGTCATATTTTTTGTACAACTGCTCTGTTGATTTCTAGTTGGAGATGCAAGGTGGATTGAATGAAACTATTTATTGATTCCGTTCAAGAATTCTTGTTTAGTCAGTTCATATCATCCGTATATAGTGTTTCGATCTAAGATTTCAATTCTTCCATGCTTCAGCAGTAGTATATTGTTCCATGGTGCTAAGGTACAAAATAAGGAATAAACAAGTGTTCTCATGACTCTACGACCCGGCCAATTCTGTTCCACTAAATCCATTTTTCATGGCCACATATCTTTACGGCTAAGGAATGGGAAATCTTTCTCCTGTTATATAAAACTAGTTTAATTACACACATCTATCTACCGCTGGATGCTCTAGATTAATGAATATTAAATAGCTAAATATCATGAAGGATTCATTTGTGATTTATTTCTGTTTAGATTTTATTTTCCTTTTTTCCTTAATGAAATTATTTCCTTTTCAAGTTTTTATTTTTCTTTTATTTGCAATCTCCTTTTTTCTAAAGTTTCATGTTCATTAACTTCGGGGTCTTACCAACCTTGTGGTCCAACCTTCTTTGAGGGATTTAAGTGCACATCAAAAGAGCTGCAGCTAGGGCACACTGATTGGAGGGAGGCTAATGCATTTTTATTTTAGAATTTTTTTTTTCAGAACAACCTTTTTGAGAAATTAGTGAGCAAAATCAACCTTCTCCCCATGAAAATGAGCAAAATCGATCCTTTTTATCCCAACTAAGATGAAGACGGTCGATTTTGCTAGAGATTTTTTTTAACTACATGGGACTAATAGTCCGGTGTAATTAGGGCATGCTAATCCACGATTAGCCATGCCAACCAATTGGACGGGACTACTAGTCCCGTCCGTTTCATTGGAAAGGGGCCAATTCTCTACTTAAAACTCGGGACTAGCAGTTCCGAGTTTTGAGACTCCGGCTATTTTCCATAAAATGAACGAGACTACTAGTCTCATCCATTTCCTGAGCACAAATATAAAATGCACGGGACTACTAGCCCTGTGAATTTCCTGTGCACTACATTATGCACGTTTTTGTGCAACGTCCATGTTAATTTCCTATAAAAACATTGCAACCATATCCATTTTGTGTATTTCCTGTGCCAATCTAAAAAGCAACTCATATCGATACATATGTAATAAATCTAACAAATTCTCACCACAAATCACACCACAAACTCATTTACAAGTTCAAAAACCATCTCACATCGATATAAAGACATAATATATCCATTCTCTTCACACCACAGAAATATCTATCATTCTATCTGTGTATATAATCCCGATGCTCAGCTACCCAGTCCTTTTGATGGCCTTCTTTCTTTGCATTCCTCTCTATTTTTTTAACAAATTACGTAACATGTTGTGCTCGAAGCACGCGGTTCGGTACATGCATCTCTACTATCTCAAAACATATAAGAGGAACTATGGCTCTCCATGTAGCTAGGTATTCTGTGCATACTGGTGGTAGGCGATTAAGAAACTGAGTGTAGGGCTCCCATTCCATCTACAGAATATTTCACATATTTTTTGCATATCATTATAACTAAAAGAAAAAAGCTCATTTTTATAGAAAAGATACCTGATAAACCTTCATACGGTCAACCTCATTTCGGTAAAAATCTAATTGTCTAGCCGGGGTCTCGTCGTAATATTTTTGGACATTTCATCTGTGTTGTTTTTAAATTTAGTATCAACAACAATAACTACAATTATATTTGCTACATTAAAAAATGAATACCTGCATCTCAGTGGAATTTGTCCATCTAATTGTATATGCACGCATAGTCTCGGCTTCAAATAAAGTCTCTCTCATGCCCATACTTGCAGTAAGGTTAGACACCCTTTGAAGTCACTATTTTGTATAAATGTCACCTTGGACATCTTTATGTATAGGTACGGCAAAATGACACTACCCCACGATAACGCACCACATGCGTCCAACTCCTCGAGGAATGGTAAACACCTAGCATATTCACAACATTTCAATTTATTAAAAAAGCTAATTCAATGAAATACATATTCAAAATACAAATACACATACCTCGCATGCACTTTATCTTTATTCAAATCTAAAAATAATATCGAACTGATCATGTGCATAATATATGCATGTGCATGTTGCTCAATCAATATCTGTAGCGCATCAATAGGCAATGTCTAAGTCAAGCATGCGGGAGAACTCTCCTTAAGGTCGCGAAACTTGGGTAAATTCAAGAATCGGATACCTTTCAATGAACAACTCAATTGACACTTGCTTCTCGACTAATTGTTTTATATCATTCAACTCCTCATTGTCGGTGATCTCTATGACAATTGTTCTATTCTCATTTATCGGACAGTTGAAGAACACCTTAGTTGTATATTCTTCTTTATTAATTTTAGTAACTGTGTGTATTTTCTTCATCATTTCATCAAAATTACATGACTTAGATAACATAAATATTTTCCTAGAACCTCCCTCATACATAGACATAATATTCACTCCGACGCCGAGGCTCCCATTGAAGAAGCAAATAATGGGTATAGAGTTCTCTATCGAAACTGAAAATCAACACTCCATCATATGCAAATAATCTATTATAACTGAAAATATTAAACTCAATTGAAAATCACATTTAAAACCCTAGTCTTAATTGAAAAGCAAATAATGGTTAAACCCTAACTTCCAAATCACATTATTCATCATATTTCACAAAAAAAAACTAAAAATTTTCATATTCAAAATCATAAACCCTTGTCAATCCATATCATTCATCAAAATTCTCACAAAAAATTACAATTCACAACACAAATTTCATATCCCAAATTTCATATCCAAAATCATAAACCCTAGTCAATCCATATCATTCATATCAAAATTAAACTAGAGGATAGTGAATTAAACCTCAATCCTACTCAATCCATATCATTAGTGGTTGTTAATCAAAATTAAACCCTAATCCTACTCAATCCATATCATTCATCAAAATTAACAACAAAAATTTAAAAAAATTAACCTTGATCAAAGCTTGGTGCACGTGGTTGGCGGCGGCTACGGTCACGAGCTTGGTTGGAGGCGACGGCGATCGAGAGCTTTGTCGTGAAGTCCGTCAGAGGCGGTGGACGTCTAGAGCTTCGTCGCGAAGTCCGTCGGAGGAGGCGACGGTTGAGAGCTTCGTCGCGAAGTGCGTCGAAGGCGGCGGTAGTCGCGTATAGATCCAACAAGGAGGAGGTTAGGGTTTTA